TGATAATATCAGTGTCAGTCTTAATGTTGTGTAATTGTACAGTGTCTTTGTGTCTGTTTAATATACTATTGATCATTAGTTTTTTAATTTATAAAATTAAAAAAACTATACTTTAAATAAAATAAATATTAGACTTTTTTGCTTTTTTTTATTACTTTTTTTAGATTTACTCCAGATTTTGCTTTAGATTTCTTCAGATTTCACTTTATTCATTATTATGTTGGTCTAAACAAAACCTTATACCAATTAAATAGCAATATTAAATAAGTATTTATATTTAATATTTTTAAAGCAATTAAAATTTTTTAAGTACTTAATTAATATTAAATTTTATATTTATCAAGTATTTAATTTTTAAAATATTTTATAAGTATTTGAATAAGTATTTTTAATTGCATTCCAATCTACCTTAAACTACATAGGTATAAGTTTATTTTTATAAACTATTTATTAATTGCTTAATAAATACTTTGACAAATATTGTGATGTTGATTTTAAAATTTGTTACTAAATTATAAATAAAATAAATACTAATATATTTTTATTTTTTGCTAACTTTTTTATTTCTTTTAGGTTTTATTTTTTTATTAGTTTTTAAAGTCAACTGGTTAGGTTTAGAATGCAGATAACTTCAATTTAGGCTTTGTCTGAGTCTTTAGTTTTAGTATTCTTTGAATATAAAGTTCAAATAATATAATTTTTTTGTAAAGAAGTTTAATTGAATTTTAATAAAGATAGAGACATAACCTCACCTTAGAAGATTAAAAAAAGTTTATAACTGGTTTTAGATAAGACAAGTACTAGTTTTACTCTTTATTTTTATCTTTTTATTATGCTATAATAATGATAAAATACTATCTTTGTAAGCTGATATTATAATATTGATTTTAAAACTAATTAAAAAAAAGAAATTTAATAAAAATCTATACTTTTTAAACTCAATTAATATAAAATATAAAATTGTTATTTGTTATATTTAGGTATATTATAAAAAGTTCATTATTATAAGCTTTAACTATAATTAAATTTATATGCAATTCTGTATTCATAAATTAAATTAACACAAATAAATAATTCTAGTTTGTCAAAATACAGCTTATTTCTTTAAAGCAAACTTATAATATAATAAAGAGTTTTAAATTGTGAAATTATTGAATTTTAATTGTATCTAGCAAAATATGTTTATATTTTCTTAATATAAATTATAGTGTAAATTTTTTTCTAACCTAAGAACTTCATTATAGTAAGTTATAATCAGGTTTTCTTGTATTTTTATATATATGACCACCTTAATTTTTTTTAAAAAACTGTATAAATAGCAAACAAATAAAAAGAAAAAAAAATGGTATGTAGGTAATTTTCTATAATGAACTGACAGTTTTTATAATAAAAATTTTAAAAGTTAATTGTAGAAGTAATTTACTATGTTTCTATACTGGCTCTATAATAAATTTGTTAAGCAAAGTTTATTATAGATTGAGCTCTTTATAAAGAAGTTCAATATAAAGAAATTCAACTGTTAACATTGCATAGATGTGTCAAAATAAAATGAAACCAGAAGGGTGAATTATCTAATACATAGTTCGTATTGATCTTTACATTCTATACAGGAAATTATCTTTATATATATGGAGCCTTTGCAGTAGAAAGGGAAGAAACTCGAATATCTCTCATATTGAGATAACACTTGTTTTGATTTTCGGGTCAATCCAAATTTCACTATTTTGATTAGTTAAAGATAATAGGTGGCTATCGAGTAATCTTGTAATGTGCTCAGTTTCGTGCAACTTTTCTTTTATATTATCTCGTTTTTTAATAAAGCAAATCAACTTTCATTTATAGTCGAAAAATGTTAATCACATCGAAATACAGTCTGCTCTCCATACAGTCACTCTCCATATAGTTACAGCCTCTTTATAATCATACTAATTTTTAAAACAAATGTATATAAAACATAAGAGATTTGACTTCTATACAGGCACAATTTTGTATAAGCACAGAATTTCTTGGAACCGAGAGTGTGACTGTAGAGAGATTAGACTGTATACCCGAATCCAATAAAACCTCAAATTTCATTTTTGCCCTTTCTACTGCAAAGGCTGTATCGTTTCATTTCAAAATTTTATAAAATATAGTACTAAAATATCTACAATACACTGTATATGTATATTCGGTTAAATCAGGGTAGAGACTGGGCTCGAGTTTTAAAAAACATAGCCTTGACTCGAGTTAACTCAAGTCAAGACTGTTTTTTAAGCTACAAGTTGACTCGAGCCAGCCTCTAAATCAGGGTAAAGTAAAATAAAATAATTTTTATTTTTATTTTTATTTCGTAAATTATATTTAGTTGATGATATTGGACATAGCTGCCACACCAATTTTGTCATGGATGATCCTTGACTTTGATTGGCTAAGAGTGACGATCAAAAATTTAGGCCGAAGTTACTCAAAATTTTACTAATGAAACCACAGCTGCGCATTAGGGTTGGCAAATTACTGTAATTTTACGTAATTTTACGTAATTTTAAGTAATTTTACGAAAATCAATTTTCATGTAATTTGTAATATGATTAATGCCAGCCAAACTTTCATAATGCTGGTATATGAATGCCGTCAAGAGAAAATCTGCCATCGGGTTTTCAGTTATATTTTGTATCGGACACAATTGCAAAATATAATTAAGGCCCGATAGCAGATTTTCTTTTTATATAATCAAATAAAATAAAAATCGTCATTATAATGAATAAAAGTTTATTAAATTATTTACATCATTGGTTAATAATGAAAATGGTTATATCATTTGTATCGCTTATACTATATAAAAGACAATAAAATGTGTAAAGTTTTATAACAAAATTAAAATGGCTCGAAACAAAATCGAAGATATACGGGATGAATATACTATAAGAATCGATGAAAAAGGTAAAGAACGTTACAAATGCAAAGCATGCAAGAAGGAATGGGCAAAAAATATAACTCAGTTGCAAGAACATATTAATACATGTGCTTTATGCAATTTGAATGAAACTTCCAATGCTAATAAAAGACAAAAAGTATCAAATCTTACTTTACAAGAACAAATTGAATTGGAATCTTTGCTTGCATGTGCCTTTTATATATCAGGGGTTTCATTTAATGTAGTCGAAAATGTAGATTTTCAAGCCTTTCTTAAAAAGGCTTGTCCTTCTTTTAATATTCCATCATGTCGTACTCTTTCCAATTCACTTCTTGATAAAGAATACACAAATCTACAAGTAGTTGTTCAAAATACCCTTGATGAAACACCTTATCATTGTTTGGTTAGTGATGGGTGGTTGAATATTAACAAATCACCAATAATTAATTACATGATTACTACACCTAATCTGATTTTTTATAAATCGGTTTGTACTAAAGAAGAACATCACACTGCAGAAAATATAGCTAAAGAGATTGAAAATGTAATGCACAAAATTAATATTGATAAGTTTGTCTGCGTAATCACGGATAATGCAAATAATATGAAAGCTGCGTGGAATATTTTAAAAAATAAATATACAAACAAGATCTTTCTTGGATGTTGGGCTCACGGAATAAACCTTTGGGTTAAGGATATTCTTAAAAATGAATGGGCTCTACAAATTTTAAAAAAAACTAAAGAGTTAGTTTTGTATTTCCGTAATCATCAAATTCCTATGGCAACTCTTCGTCGTTTACAAAAAGAAACTTACAGTTTTGAGATTGCTCTTGTTTTAACCGTCGATACAAGGTGGACATCAACGTTTGAGTGTCTTGATCATGTTTTAAGAACACAAGCTGCAATTTATGCTATATTAACTGAAGATAGTATTATATTAGATGAAAATATCAAGGCAGTTATCGTGGATTATACGTTTTGGGAGGATCTTAAAAGACTTCATGATTTTTTAGAACCATTCATTATTTTTATATGTCAATTAGAGAGTGACGAACCATATCTCTCTTCTGCATATAAAATATTGCAAGATCTAAAAAAAAAAATTATAAATAATGTACAAATTCCAGTAGAACTTCACGATAATATATTACAAGCAGCTAGAAATCGGTGGGTTAATTTTCTATACAATCCGGCAATTATAGTTGCATATATACTTGATCCTAGGTATCGTGGTGAAGATCTTGATCTCCAAATATGGGCGGATATAATAAATAATGAAGTGATCTGAATTGCAGGAGTTGATAATGAAAATCAAGTATTAGACGAGTTAGCAGAATATATTGGAAAATCAGGTGGTTTCGCAAGAAAATATTTATGGGAAAATCTTACCTCAAAACCACTTAATTGGTGGAATTTATTAAGCATGCAATATCCTATTTTAAGTCAAGTTGCACGCAAAGTCTTATCAATTCCTGCCACTTCTGCAGCTAGTGAGCGTAATTGGTCTGCATATGGATTCATCCATTCGAAGCTGCGTAATAGAATGCTTACTCAAAAAGCAGATAAGCTTGTCTATATTTATTGGAATACACGAATTCTCCGTCAGTTGGGAAGATCTATATTAATTAACAATTTGCAAGAAATATCTGTTAATTCAGATAATCAAGAACTTGATATTAATGTAGATAATGACGAAAATGAAGAGCTTAATGAAAACTTTACCGATTTTTCTAATTGGCTTCTTAATACATTCGACAACTGTGAGCATGAATTCGATAATTATTCTGAGTGAAAATCTATATCCTTTTTTTTTTTCTTGTAATATGCAAAAATGAAGGTGATTAGTCTGCTAAAAAAAAAAAAAAAACTGATACTTTACAGCAAAAGAAATAGCGTTAGAAGGAAAACTTTAAATAACATTTAGGTTATCCTTATAATATGAGCATTATAATGCCGGTACATTCTTAATGTAAGGTTACATCATAATCATGTGCTAATTTTCTATTAATGTAAAAGTTACATACAATTTCGTAAATTATCATGTAATTTACATGTAACGTAAATTGTAATTCATGTAATGCCCTACCGGGCCTATTTCTCTAAAAATTTCCATTTTAGGAATGAAAAAGTTAAAAAGTTAATTCCGGCCAAAATTATGTATGCGGCCCAATCCGTGACAAATTTGGTGCGGCAGCTAGGTTCAATGTTGAAGATATTTGTTTCTTGTGTAACAGTCCTAAACTTTTGGACGTAGAATCAAAAATACGTAGCATCTGATTACGTAGATATGAGGATATCGTCAGGTACGTACGTACGTACGTACTGTAACGAATTTAATTTTATAATCTTACCTTTTTGGTGTAATTGATTATCTAACTAAATTAGTATTGTGATTGTTAAAGCCCTCGAAGGAGGTTGTGTGCATATTGACATGAGGCTAACACAATAGCGTGGTGCTTTAATGTCATAAAGTAGGTTCCAGAATGTGTTCTCTTTCATATTAATCGAAATGTATAAAAGTGAAGCATTAATTATAAT